TGGATTCAGATTGCTAATATTCTGTAAAGAATTTTTTACATCTTCATCAGGAATATTGGCCTGCAGTTTTCTTTTTTCGTGTGTCTCTACCAGATTTTCATATAAGGCTAATGCTGGCTTCATAGAATGGGTTAGGGAGGAGCTACTCCTCCTCAATTGTTTGGAATAGTTTCCAGTAGGATTGATACCAGTTCTTCTTTATATGTCTCATAGAATTCAGCTGTGCATCTATCCAGTCCGGTGCTGTTTTTGTTGGTATTGCTGTTAGTAGATCTTTTATCACTGATTTATCTGATTTCTCTATTCCTATAGATTTTCTCATTTGTGTGCCTAGAGTTGTTGATAGTATTCTCTGATGATTTTTTATATTTCTGTGGGATCAGTTTTAATGTCATCTTTGTCATTTCTGGTTGTATTTATTTAGATCTTCTCTCTTCCTTTTGTAAATCTAGCTAGCAGTCTATCAGTCTTGTTTATTTTTCTGAAAAACCAACTTGGTTTCATCAATCTTTTGTATGGATTTCTGCATCTCAATCTCATTTAGTTCTCCTCTAATTTTACGTATCTATTCTCTTCTGCTAGCTTTGAATTGGCTTATTCTTTTATTTTCTTTAGATGTGGTTAGATTGTTAATTTGAGATCCTACAACTACTTGATGAAGGCGTTTAGCACTATAAACTTTCCTTTTAAAACTGCTTTAGCTGCATCCCAGAGATTTTAGTAGTTTGTGTACCTATTTTCATTACTTTCAAAGAATGCTTTGATTCTGCCTCGATTTTGATGTTTACCCAGGAGTTATTTAGGAGGAAGGTGTTTAATTTCCATGTATTTGTGTAGTTTGAGAGATCTTCTTGGTATTGATTTGTATTTTTTTTCCCATTTATTTATTTTATTGTATTTTAGGTTTTGGGGTACATGTGAAGAACATGCAAAATTGTTGCATAGGAACACACATGGCAGTGTGATTTGCTGCCTTCCTCCCCATCACCTACATCTGGCATTTCTCTCCCTGCTATCCCCCCCCAGCCCCCACCCCCCACCGTCCCTCCCCTATTTCCCCCCAACTGACCCCAGTGTGTAGTGCTCCCCTCCCTTTGTCCATGTGCTCTCATCGTTCAACACCCGCCTATGAGTGAGAACATGTGGTGTTTGATCTTCTGCTCCTCTGTCAGTTTGCTGAGAATGATGGTTTCCAGGTTCATCCATGTCCCCACAAAGGACCCAAACTCATCGTTTTTGATGGCTGCATAATATTCCATGGTGTATATGTGCCACATTTTCCCTATCCAGTTTATCGTCGATGGGCATGTGGGTTGGTTCCAGGTCCTTGCTATTGTAAACAGTGCTGCAATGAACATTCGTGTACACGTGTCCTTATAGTAGAACGATTTGTAAGACCTAACACCATAAAAACCCTAGAAGAAAATCTAGGCAAAACCATTCAGGACGTAGGTGTAGGCAAAGACTTCATGACCAAAACACCAAAAGCATTGACAACAAAAGCCAAAATAGACAAATGGGACCTAATCAAACTCCACAGCTTCTGCACAGCAAAAGAAACAATCATTAGAGTGAATCGGCAACCAACAGATTGGGAAAAAATTTTTGCAGTTTACCCATCTGACAAAGGGCTGATATCCAAAATTTACAAAGAACTAAAGCAGATTTACAAGAAAAAAACTAACAAGCCCATTCAAAAGTGGGCAAAGGATATGAACAGACACTTTACAAAAGAAGACATACGTGAGGCCAACAAACATATGAAAAAATGCTCATCATCACTGGTCATAAGAGAAATGCAAATCAAAACTACATTGAGATACCATCTCACGCCGGTAAGAATGGCGAACATTAAAAAATCTGGAGACAGCAGATGCTGGAGAGGATGTGGAGAAGTAGGAACACTTTTACACTGTTGGTGGGAGTGTAAATTAGTTCAACCATTGTGGAAGACAGTGTGGCGATTCCTCAAGGACATAGAAATAGAAATTCCATTTGACCCAGCAGTCCCATTACTGGGTATATATCCAAAGGATTACAAATCGTTCTACTATAAGGACACGTGTACACGAATGATTTGTATTTTTAATACATTGTGTTGAGAGTGTGCTTGGCATGATTTCATTTTTTTAATTTATGAGGACTTGCTTTATGACCAAACATATGGTTGATCTTAGAATATGTTTTTTTGTACAGATGAGAAGAATGTATGTTCTGTGGTTGTAACTTAATTATAACGTGTTGCTACTAAAATACCAGATGAAACACACCAGTAAATATGTCCCCAATTAAACTGAATAACTTGAGGAAAAATTTTTCATTATGCTGCTAAGACAACTAGTCCATTAACCTGTAATGTGAAATTTGTAGGTCTATAGTAACTCAACCCCTAATGGAAATAGCTCTGAACTGAAAACAAGGAAACCAGGACCAGGTTTATCACTGTTTTACCTCACAACCTGGTATAAGGATTTACTTGTCTGTGCTTCAATTTCTTCATATTTAAACTGGAGAAATCCTAATCCTAGCTCTAGCCCTTTTCCTGTTTGATGAAGCTGTTGGAAAGATATCACTGAGTAATATTTAAAGCAGCTGGAGTGTATTTTAGTATGCTACATAATGTTTTCAGGACATTATTGATTTGGACAGTAAGAATAGCCTGCAGGCAAATCCTGAAAGGTGCTTCAGCAGACGCAGATGTCTACCTTCCTGTTGGCACAGCCCATGTTTGGCAGGTGTATTCCATTTCTTACAGGAAGGAATAGGTGCTTCATTGTATTACAGGAGTCAGTAAGCTTTCACAAAACTAAGTAATTTACATTTTTCTCATTTCTGAGATCAAATTTTCATAAATCATTCAACCTGGATAAATTGAGAAAGTATTTGATCTGGTAATTGTTGAAATATAATGAAGACATTGCAAAATATGATGTTTAAGTATTTCCTCCTAATCTTTTACCTTAACAAGATATGAGTTCTAAATGGAAAGATATCCTAATGTAAAAAAGGAAACAAAAATGAGCCTGTCTGTAAAGGAAAAGCCAGAAGGAGCACAACACAGATTCATCTCAGTAATTTGGGATCCCACTGATTCTGGATTTGTAGTAACAATAATAATAATTAAACAAAATAGAGCTTATGTTTATGTTATGAAGAAGGTTTTTCTTATTAGTTAGTAATATAAATTATATTATGAAGAAAGGATACATTTAGTCAACTTGCAAGTGATATTTTCTGGCTTTTAACAATATATGCAAAGAAATGCTACTAATGTCTTAAAATGATTTCTACTGGAAACTATTTAATGGTATTTCAAGTTACTATTAGATTTTAACAATAAACTTAAAATTTCATAGTGTAGTTCTATAATTCATACTAACATTTTTCTTTATGCTCATCCACAATTCAAGTTAATTAAACTTTGCCTTAAAGGATTCATGTAGTCCTGTGAGTCATAATATTCAGAGTGTGTAAGGTGGCACTAGTTTTTAAACACTAGGGAAGGTCCAAGTATTACAGACTAATCAAAGAATACAGTGAGTTTTCTAATGACTCTTCTTGTTCAGGTACTTGCACCACTTGACTGTTTTAGTGGATATATACCATTTATGTATAGTTTGCATTTTAGAAAAGTTTGCAGTAATAAACTCAGGCAAGATTTGCCATTTTACTCTAAGATCATTACTGTGTTTCTTAAAGCAAAGTTTTTTGATGCACTGAATTATTTTGTTTCATTTTCCTGTTTTTTGTCAACAGAATTCTTGATAGATGCAAAATTATCCAATAAACTTCAGCTAGTTTTCAGCGTTATATGCAGTTGATTTGTCCATTCCTTACCGAAACTTCCAAGTCATCTAAACCAGAATGTATGACACTAAGAATGCCCTCATTCCTTTAATGTCTAGCTCTGTGGTGTATTTATTTGCAAAGGACCCTCATGCATGGATCCATATAAATGAGGCAAACTGTGAAGCAGGCTAGACTGTGCCGCTTACCAGTCTTTGAGAGAGGAAGATTGTGTATATGAAAACTGCTAGGCATGATATTTACTTATAAGGAAGATTTCTGTATGTATAACATGAAGCAAGATTTTTGGTTGAGGTTTTATGTCTCCAGTAAAGAAAATAAAAGAAGAAAACCAATTAATGGTCTGATTCTATCATCCTTTGTCAAGCAAAACTCTCACTGATCCACATGAATATGACCTCCTGCTCATAGAGTAGTCTAAGAACACTGCAGAATGGACTTCTGAACTTTTGACTCTCTTTTCAATTTAATTAACAAGTTTTTAATCAACTAAAAAAATCATTTTATTTGACTAAAAAGTCTATGTAGGTAATTTCTAGTGTATTTATGATATTCAGAGATGATAGAAACTTGTTTTTTAATTAGAACAAAAAGTCTGGTTTTATTAGTATCACATCATTGTTTATGATTAAATTATTTCCAAGCTACTGTAACTTGAAATTTTTCCCACCTAGCCACATAATTTCTAGCTTTATTTTTATCAGCCAATTCTGTGAAAAAGAAGGGAATTTAGTACATAGAAGTTATATAGTACACCAACCAGTGAATCACTTATCTAACTAACAGGTGAAAGATTGCTGATATTTCTGTTTTGAAATATGTGCTTTTCTTAGTTAAAAATCAGTTTATTCTACATTTAATATACAATCCTGTCATTGCATAGTAAATTATTCATTCACAACCTTAATGCAAATAGGTAAATGTATCGAAATGGGTATCATACAAACTTTGTGTGGCTTCTGATGCTGACATGATTCAAGAATCTGGGTTAAAGTTTGTGTCATTGCTGTTTTTTTTTAACCTGAAATACTTGGCAGTCTGTACCAGTGTCTCTCACAGTAATACTTTGTTTCTTAACATGACTGTGAGGACTGCTTGGTCACAGGCAAATACTGTCCTTTATCAGCCAAGATATTTTTAACAATAACTGCACTTTTTTCCCCCTTCTCACCCCCACCCCAACCCCAACTTAGGCTGGAAAGGCTGGTGGATGTGCTGAGGAAGAAGGTTGGAACCGGGACCATGAGGACAGTGATCTGACTGAATAAAACGACAGTCTGGGGAAGCGATCACATCTGGTGACCAGGCTGCTTCATTCAACACTGTGTAAACACTAAAGCCTTAACTTAGCAAACAGTTGTTAGAAGTGGGACACTCCAACCACATTCCAAGCTGAGATAAAATCAAATCACAAATGTTTAACCACTTTGCTGCTGACTTGAGTTATTTATCCAAATATATTAACTATAGACTTTTACCAATAGGTAGCTATAAGGTTACAGCTTATTTTGTAACTATTTTATATCTCAATATCTTTAATATAAATCTTTTTACAGAGAGATCATTATAGAAACATGTTAAAGTTGGTTAGGATCTTATCTTTACATATGGCCCTTTCTGAATCAAAGTAGAGCAAAGTAAATATTGTCTAAGCTTTAATCCACTGTGTTAGGTCAAAACTTCAAATACATGCATTTTTCAATATAGGGTATATTTCTTAAATGATGAGAGAGGCTTAAACATGAGTGTGTAGTCTTCCTTCAATGCATGTATGTAATCTTTATTAGTATTAAAATATTAAATATAGATCCCATGAATTAAATGTATAATTTGTTTTAATAAGAGAGGGATACATTAAAATTACATTCATTAAGGCATGATTTTTTGTTTCACTACAAATAATGCCAACTGTTTTCAATAAAAAGGGGAGATTGTTAATATATACTTATAAATTCACATTGTCAGTATTTTTTAATGTTGGGTCTGAATAATTATCTAAACTCTACTTAAGCTATAATAATTGCCAAGTCTCTGTCATTTTTGCCCGAAAATTAGCATGCCTCCATCTTAAAAGAGACCACCAAACCTGTTAAGTATTCTGACTGTTTATCTTTTTTTAAATTACCATTTTATTTTTGTTGTGGAGGAGGGGAATCCAATAAAAAATATACAAAAAAAATTATAATGTAGAAATATAAGAACTTAGAAAAAAGTAAACTTGCCATTTGGTTAAGCTTACCTGCTTTTTATTTAAGAAATAAAATAGTTACAACATAGCAGTCACTTCTATTCATATGAAGTTATGAATAGAACTGAGATTTTTATGTAATAGACTATAGGCAAAGTATTTTTATTTTTTTAGATTGAAACAGATGAAAGCCCAAGAGGAAATGACTATGCCTGGAACAGGATGAAGTAGACAAGTAGAGATTTAATTAGTGAAAATTTTGTAGGCAAGGAAAATTTTTTCTAAGTCTATATATTTTTAATTTATCTTTAAGATTGAGCTAAATTAGCTACCATTGCCTATTTACAGGATAAGTACATCCAGGACAATTATTGCACCATTGTTTCATACATCATAGTAGATTATACATTTGAATTTTTTTTACTTCACAGAAAAAATGTAAGCTACTTTGTCATAGATAACGAAAGAATCATAATGCTAACAAACTCTATTTCTTCCTTATTAAATCTGTATCCATTAAAGTAATTTTTTAACTATGAGAATTAGAAAATAAGGGACAATGGGGGTTTAAAATAAACTAATTTATTTTTCTCTATAGTCATAAAAGAATTATATCCTCTTATAGACCAGGGACTCTATAATACAGAAATAGGTAATGATTTGGTCATACAGGCAGTCTTGTCTCTGGGCTGTATTTGAAAGTTGTAACAGCTCCCTATGTGAAGAAATGGCATCTTCAAAGTCATCTGGGAGGTTCAGGTAAGTAAAGAAAAACCATTTTTGTCACAAAATGGTCCATTCTTGATACCTCTTAAAATAAATTACAAGTAAACTTGAATTTGTAGTTTAATCCTGAAAACAGACGAACTTTTCTTGAGTTATTTTGTCTGAGGCTTTAGAAGACACAAAATATAGTATAAAGACATTTCACAATTTCCACACAAATCTTTCTACACTTAAATGATCAAATTAGAATAACCAATTCCGATAATTAATATGCAGAACTTTTGTAGACTATGATATTATAAAGTTAAATTCACAAAATAATTCTAACATCCACTATTCTTCAGTATAGGTAATCTCCCAAAAATATCCTCTTGAAAATGAGTTATTCACAAAATTTCAATGAGTTGTCTACAAAATTTCAAATGCAAAGTATTACAGCCAAATATTATCTTAATTAATTTCATACACTTAAAAATGTCCATCAACACTATGTCATATGGTCTTGATACATTTTTTCTGTATGGAAGAATAGCCTCGCTTACTGAAGATAGGTTCTCTATATATTCAACAATAATGCAACTTTAGAAGTATTCCACACTGCTGAGGAATGTTGCTTTGAGTTTGCTTTACACATCATCAAGTCTAATTTCTTAGTAACAGGAGAATTCACTTCTTCTTGTAAAAATAAGTAATTCACAGGAAACATTGGTAGCACTTGATGATTTACAAAGTCCTTTTACATCTGCTTTTCTTTTTCATTTGATCCTATCAACAACCATATAATAATAATAACAAATTTTATACATAACCCATATAATAATGATGGCAATGATAATTTTAGTATTACTGTCATTATAATTATTATTACGTTCATTCTACCAATGAGGGGACAGACTCAGTAAGCCTTAGAATTTGCCAAGCACTGTCTAGGACTTAGAACTAAGATCTTACAACCATACTCCATGCAACGATGAGTCTCTAAACCTCTCTGTAAGAAAAAAAAAATTCAAAGTAAAGATTTTAACTCTTTCAATTTCTGTTGTTACGGTACCATTTCTTTCATGTACCTACATACAAATTCTCTAACAATCAAAAGATTGTACACATTTCTTTCAATAAAGTACAATAATGTGAACTGCATATGTAAACAGCATCACATTTTTACCACCTTTCTATGGTATTACAGCGGCAGCATGCTTTGCCTCAGCCTTCAGTAATTAGAAATATTAAGACAATTCATTCCTAATAAAACATAATATGAGTCTCTTTGTACTATTTTTAATTTGTCCTGATGCTAAAACCTATCAGCTTAGTTTTATTTATAGCATGGTGGTCTAAATTTCAAGGCTCTCTCTATCTCCTAGAGCAATTATTAGAGCTAAAAACCAGCTATAAGCAAAGTTATTGGTTATAAGCAAGGTATAAGCAGTTAAAGCAAAGTTATTATTAATAAACAAGAATTTAAAACTTTATGAATAAATTAGAAATTTATTAATGTATTTTAAATACTTTATGGAGTAAAATATTTTGCTTACTTTTTTCATTGATAAAGTTGATCCTTTGTATGTTTCCTTATTCAAATAAACTAAATCATCTTATCAGGTCATTTATTTATATAATTATTTTATTAAAAAGCTAGAATATTAAAGATTTATACCTTTAATGTTAGATATAGCTTCATAGAAAAGCATTTTATATGTACTATTCTTAAAGATCACAATTATTTTTAAAGTTTCTATTTTCAAATAGTTGTGATTAATAAAGCATTGTATGATGAAATAGCCATGTCATACATTTTTGTCTTTTTTATACAGATTTTTTACTTATTTTATTGTGTTATTGGTAAGTAGTATTTACAACTAAACTCTCTATTCATATTTTACATATACATATATGCACACAGATGCATTTACCTTTTCAAAAAATGATTTATAAGTCAACTGTTAGGCACCAGTGATTTTGGTGTTTTGTTCATGTTTTATTGGAAATGCCCGTGGTTTCTGAGGCTTTAAACAAATACATGGAATAGTTGAAAGATTTATTTTGCTTGTGCTTAGCTAAATATGTCATCTCTAGAAAAGATGTGGTTTGTTTTGGCACTGTTTTAAAAACTCAAATATTTTAAACATTTGTTAAGTTGGAGCTTGCACATTTAATCTAGCAGCATAAGTTCCAGAAGAGCATCTCAAGTTACCAATTTTTTTTGTAATCCTTTTACTAGAATAATCTTTTTTTGAAAATGTTTTCTTGTGCTCGCTTTGGCATATATACTGAAATTTTTTTAAAAAGCTTTTCTTTTTTATTATATGTTTTAGTGTAAGTTAAGTTAAACTTCTATAGGTTGAATTTTTTAATGTAGGACTTCATAAATAGAATTTGACAATGTGTATCATTTATGATACACATTTATCATTTTGATAATCATTAAAATATTGTGTACAATGATACACCTTTGCAGAAGTCTTAATATGCTTAATTTTTAATCTGATTGTCTTCTAAATATAGTTTTGGTGCATGCTATTATTTTAAAGGCCACCAATTTTGAACTATTGGATTATTTAAAAAGACGTAATATTTTAATGCACAAACTCAAATCTCTAAAATACATGTTTATTTTGTATTCAGATAAAATGCCCTATCCTACACATATTTCAATGCAATTCTTATACATCAATCTTAATCAAATTTTTAAGTGTACAATCCTGAAGACAGTGTATTAAATATGCACTATAAAATATATTGCAGTAAGGAAACAGATTAAGTTCACTGTCAAACTGTATGAATTCCTTAACAAATTTAATAAAGATAAATGTCAATATGGACAAATTTGTTAGGTACCTTAGGAATCTTTCAAAACTATTCAGATATAAAATAAAATTATAGTAATAAAATATTGAAGATAAATATTATTTTCAGCAAATATGGTTAGAAAGAACCTAAGAAAAGAGATCAAATTAATTAAGAAATAATAGACTAACTCAAATCTACCATAAAGCAGCTCTACTAATTTTGGAATATGTACATGGAGTTTTGTGTCAATAGCTGAAATCTAAAAACAATGTTTCTCTTCTGTTTGATTATTCAATCATGATAAGGTAAATGAAAACAGACTATGTATCACCTGGAATGAACTTAGAATTCAAATCTTAGAGTACATGACTAAAAGAGGAACAGAGTGGAGCTGGGCACTAGGTGTCTTTGGGGGCAAAGATTCTATAAACTGGTAATATTTAAACTATCACATTACTTTGTTAAATTATTATTTCACCATGTATTGCCTTTGTGGTTTGTCACACATTTTACTTCTCCAGTGCACATAATTGTAACTTTTTTAACTTTAAAAACTCAATTATGTTTAAGAAAATTTTAAAAATAAGAATGAACATATGTCGTATTTACTCATGTATTTACCATTTCCAGTGACCCCCCCCCTTTTTTTTTTTTTTTTTTTGGATATATCCAGGTTTCAACCTGTTACTGTTTTCCTTATATATTTTCTGATGATAAGTATTTATCATCTATATACTAGTGCAGAACTGTTGGTTCAACTTTTGTATGTCTGAAAATGTGACTCTTTTTCTGCCTTCATTCTGTGTGGAAAAAAAATTGTTGCATATAGAATTTGAGGTTAACAGATTTTTGTGAGGTTTTTTTCAGTATTTAAAAAGTATTGGTCTAATACCTCAGGCTTGCTTTGTTCCTGCTGTTATTCTTACTGTTACTCTCTACATTATGTGTCCTCTGACTGCTTTAAAGATTTTTCCCTTGTCACTTGTTTTAACCAATTTTATTATGATTTATAATATAGATTTCTGCATGTTTCTGTGCCTGTGGTTTGCTGAACTTCTTGGATCCATGAGTTTGTAGTCTATCAGAAAATTTCAGCCATTACTTTTTTCAACATTTCTCCCTATCTCTTGTTTTTCTTTCTCTGGAACTACTATTCTCTGGATATTAGGCTACTTAAAGTTGTTTTACAGCTTGTTTATGCTTCATTAATTTTTTTTAATTTTTATGGTTACATAGCAGGTGTATATATTAATGGCGCACATGAGATATTTTGATACAGGCATACAGTGCATAGTAACATCAGGGTAAATGGGGTATCCATCACCTCAAGCATTTATCCTTTTTATTACAATTAATTATATTCTTTCAGTTATTTTAAAATATACAATAATTATTGACTGTAATCATCTTGTGCTAGATATCATCTTGTACAAAAATTAGATCTTATTCATTCCATCTAACTATATTTTTATTATATTTTCATTTTTTCTCTGTTTCATTTTGGATAGTTTCTATTGCTTTGTCTTCAAGTTTACTCATCTTTTCTTTTGCAGTGTCTAATGTGTTGTTAATCCATCCAGAGCCTTTTTCTTCAAGACGTTGTATTTTTCATCTCTATAAGTTAGAATTTAGTTTTTAAAATTTTTTATGGCTCTCCTTAACTTGTTCATGCTTTACATTATCTTCAAGAACATAAAACATATACAGTGGTTTTACTTCCTTGGTTTTAGTGACCCACAACTAACCACAGTCTGAAAATAGGTAAGTATAGTACAATAAGATACTTTGAGAGTGAAAAACCACATTCACATGCCATGCCTTTTATTACAGTATATTTTTATAATTGTTCTATTTTATTATTAGTTATTATGTGTAATCTCTTACTATGCCTAGTTTAGAAATTAAACTTTATCATAGAAATGTACATATACAAAAAATACATATATATAGGATTCAGTACTATCCTTGGTTTCAGACATCTACTGAGGGTCTTGGAATGCATCAGCCAAGCTGAGAAGAAGGGATTGCTGTAGTAACTGTTTTAATGTTCTTGTTTGTTAATTATATCATCTGTGTAACTTACAGGTCTTTTCTATTGATTCATTTTTTTCTTACCATAGGTTATATTTTTCTGCTTTGCATGCTGGCAACTTTTTATTGCAGTTACTGTAAATTTTATCTTGTTGAGTGCTGGATATTTTTGTATTTCTTTAAAATGTTTTGAGTTTTCTTCAGGAATGCAGTTACGTTACTTGGAAACAGTATGATACTTTTAAGGCTTTTTTTACTTTGATAGGCAAGACCAAAACAGCTAGTCTAGAGCAGAGTTTTCCACACAATCAAGGCAATCCCCTTCTGAATATATTACCTTATATTCTTTGTGGTATATGATTTATCTACTCCAATTTGTTACAACAGAAACCATTCCTAATCATGTGCGAGTTTAGGTCATTGTTTTGCCTTTTCTTTCCTGGTGGTTTTTACCCTGGCCTTGCTAGTTCGCTGACATATGTGTGCTGCTCAATACTCAAAGGAAGACTCAAGGAATGCTCTACAACTCTCCAGAGCTTACTCACTTGCTCTCCTATGCATGTGTGCTCTCTCTCTCTTTCTCTCTCTTTCTCTGTGCAACCCTCTCCTCTGCTTAGAATTTCTCCTCTCCAGTACTCTGAGCTGTAAATTCTGTCTTCCCTGGTGTCCCCAGATTCTCAACTCTGTGTCCTCAACTCAGGGAGACTTCCAAGCTCTGTTTTCGTTGCCCCTCTCCACACCCTGTAAATTCTCCAGACAATAAACTGGGGCAATCATAAGGCTCACTTCATTTTTTGATTCACCGTATTGGACTGTCTATTGTCCAAAGTTCAAAAACATTGTTTCATGTATTTTCACTACTGCTTTTTATTTGGTTGGTGTTGGTGTTGGTTTTATTGCTGTTGTTTTTTTAGTTTCTTAAGGACAGTAGCAGGATAAATCTGGTCCGTGTTATTCCAAGGTAGTCGATAGTGTAGGTCCTTCTGTAGATCTTTTAAAATGTCATCCTGTTAATGTCTAGCTTCTCTCTTACCTGTTTAGAAATCAGCTATCAGTCTTATTGTCTCCTTGAAGTAAACTTTTTTGTTTCTCAGATTGCTTTTTACATTTTTTGTTTTACTTTATTATTTTTTTTTTTGGCAGTTTCATTTTATGCCTTGATGTGGTCTTCTTTTTATAGTTCTTGCTTGAGTTCAGAGACCTTAGTAAATCTCTGTCTTCATCTTTTGTCAATTTTAGGACATCTTTAGTCAATATCTCTTTCTCCTCCTGAGACTTCAGTTACATATATGTTAACCTTTTCACTGTGTTCCCATATTTTCCATTCTTTTTCTTTTTTAATTCTATGTACAACAGTTTTGATTTTTTTTTAAATATATGGAGTCTTGCCAGGTTTCCCAAGCTGGTCTTGATCTCCTGGTCTCTAGCAGTCCTCCCATCTTAGCTTCCAAATGTGCTAGGATTACAGGCATGAGCCACTACACCCAGCCAATTTTGAATTTTTTTAATTACCTGTCTTTTATTTTACTAAGCTTGTCCTCTTTGAAAGCCATCTATTGAATTCTTAACTTTAGGTTTTGAATTTTTAAATTCTACAATTTCATTTTTCTTTTTTGTATGTTCTGATTCTCTAGTGAAATACTCATCTTTCTAAATCATTTTCTTCCCCGTTTGCCTCTGTTTTCTTGAACATACTGATCATAGTTACTTTTAAATCCATGCCTATTAACTCCAATATCTGAATTTTGTCTGAGTCTTTCTCTATTGTCTGTTTTG